TAGAGACGGAGTTTCACCACGTTGGCCAGGCTGGTCTCAAACTCCTAACCTCAAATGATCCACCCACCTCAGCCTCCCAAAGTGCTGGGATTACAAGAATGAGTCATCGTGCTTGGCCAAATTATATTTCTAATCAGGAAAAAATGTTATTTTTCTGAAAGTTTTCAAGGATTGGTGGGAATCAAACACAAGTGGACAAATCCTGCATGATTCTACTTAGATGAGGTCCCTCGAGCAGTCAGACTCACAGAAACAGAAAGAAGAATGAATGGTGATTACCAGGGGCTATGGGGAGGGCAATGGGGAGTTGTCCCATCACGGGTACAGAAGCTCAGTTTTACAAGACAAAAATAATTCCGGAGCTGGATGGTGGTGATGGTTGCATGACAATGTGAATGTGATTAATGCCACTGAGCTGTACAGTTAAAAATGATTAAACTGGTAAATTTTATGTTATATATATTTTATCATAATAAAAAATAGGATGAATGGATTTCTAAAAAAGGAACTGGAGGGATGCTGAAAGGCATGGGCCAGCTGATGGGAAGGAAGGTGTCAGGCTAGGGGACAAGGTGAGCAAGAGCCTAGGTGTGTGATGGCTGTTCATGGAGACTATGAGGATAGGAGCTGGCTTTGGATGTGCCTGCTTGCTTCCCCTCCTTCCCATTCCTGGGGAAGATTCTGGTCATGGGGACACTTTATAACAGGCCCCCCTGGACCTGAGCAACAATTGTCTAAAGACGCTTGGGCGGGCATGGTGGCTCACGCCTGTAATCCCAGCACTTTGGAAGGGCAAGGCAGGCAGATCACTTGAAGTCAAGAGTTCGAGACCAGCCTGGTCAACATGGTGAAACACCACCTCTACTGAAAATACAAAAATTAGCCAGGAGTAGTGGCAGACACCTGTAATCCCAGCTACTCGGAAGGCTGAGGCAGGAGAATCACTTGAACCCAGGAAGCGGAGGTTGCAGTGAGCTGAGATGGTGCTACTGCATTCCAGCCTGGGCAACAGAGTAAGACTCCATCTCAAAGAAAAAAAAAAAAAATCCCACAGTGGGAGGAAGCCCTAAAGAGTGGGGTTTCGAACATTCAGTGACCAGGACTGGCATATTTAGGGTGAAAGGGAACCTATTTCTTTTTCCCTCTTGTTTGTAAACAAGGGGAGGGGCCATGAGGTATCCAAGAAGGCCCTGTCTCTGACCTCAGTTTCCATAGAAAGCAGTCCCAGGGACAGGAGCTATAAGGGGCCACTGAGCTCGGGGGGACAGCCTCATTCTGAGAAAGCGCCCAGCCAGCTGACTCAGCTGAACTGAATCAAGGCACATGAAGCAGCAAATCTCTTGGCACACTATTTAAACCTGACCTTGGGCTGGGTCCAGTGCCAGGATCACAAGTATTGATAAAGCTCTTGTCCACTGGACACTGCACTGGCCCCAATGTCCCTTCCCCCCACAGATATTTCATACAGAAATAAAGACAAACAGACATCACACACCAGATTTTCTGGCGAAGGAATAGGACATCTTTGGGGCTGAATGAGATCTTGGTTGCAGCATGGTGCGGGAACCCCTGTCCATCCTCCGCAGATTCCTTATCATTGGATTTTCTTGCCATAGGCAAAACCTAGCACCACGTGACTTCGTAGACCTTCTGGGTCGAGATAGGTTGAGACTCAAGATGTGAATAAATAATCTCAAAACCAGTCAAATGTATAGTTATCCAGCTCTCAAAATACTTGGACCTGCATCAATAGCTGCTAATTTTGCAGGATGTGATGGGAACACTGGAAAGAAAAAGTGGTTCCGCTGGCAGAAGAAACGCTGACCAAGCAAAGGTGGCAGCAGTGAAACTTCTTGAGCCACATTCCCAATCTAGGGGATTTTTAGGTTGGGAGTCAGTTCTTGCACTCGTGTTTTCTACTATAAGAAGGATCAGAACTCTGGTTGCATCAAAGAGCTAAGCTCTGTCAAGTGACCACCTTAGAAAACCAGAGGGATCGATGGATGTGAAACAGAGAGGAAAAGCTCTATCTGTGAGAGGGGGACCGAGCTCCCTACATGTCCGCATTCGGTGACCTACGCCTAGGGTCCTCCTCTCCCCACAGCAGGATGTCCTCACCGAACCCCACGGTGGCTACGTACCAGTCTGGGCCTGATGCTGACAGCGGTTCCCAGTCCTTCCTGGAGGACAAATGCATCTGTACTGGTTGACTCCTTCTACACACGTACCACCATTTTGACAAGGCTGGCTGGAGCATTCACTGATATCTAGGAAGATAGATAATTTTCAAATACAAGGATGTGAGTTCTAGGTCTAAAACAAATACAAATAAAAAAAACCGATGAAGGGGTAACTTCCTTTACATTGTAGGATAACTCCCACTTTCTACCTGACCCCACCCACTCTTTCCACCCTCTGCACCTACAAGAGCTGCCAAGGGGCCGATGGGGCTGATATGCAGTCTTGTTGCATCTCCATTCAGCAGGCCCTGCACCCAGGCACACACTGCCCACCTGGGGCTCTGCGTGCAGGAGCTGGCCTATGACCTGGCCATACTCCGCCCACAGGCACCATTTTCTGATTCGCAAAGGTGCAGTGTAGACAGCTGTAGCCAGACAGAGGTGGCATCTGCCCGCATTGCCTTTGAGTCAGGCCCTGTAAGCCACGAACCCTTTGCTCCATCAGCCAGCACCTGGGAGAAACACTTTTAAACAGGAACAAAATTCAATGCAGTTATAAAGGGGAGGGCTGGCCCACTGGAATGTCCAGGGTTGGGGAAAACGAATTCTCCAAATTCCCACCCAGAAGCCCTACTGTGCTTGACCAGGTAAGAGTTTTTTTGACATTTCTTTAACATTGGTAAAGGGAGATGTTCCTTTCTCATCTACACAACATTTCTGTGGAAAAGGTCTTTGGAGAGAGAGACTGTTATTTTAAAAAGCTCAAAAGACTTTTCTTCTCTGAGTGGTAGGCTTACAGGCGATTTTTCTTTGCTTTTTTATAATTTTTAATATTCTTTCCTTTTCCCATAATAATCACGTATACATTTTTTAATTAGGAAAAAAAATGATTCTTTTAAAACCCAGAGGCCACATGTTAGCTGGGCATGGTGGTGGGTGCCTGTTATCCCAGCTACTTGGGAGGCTGAGGCAGGAGAATCGCTTGAACCCGGGAAGCAGAGGTTGCAGGGAACCGAGTTCGCGCCACTGCACTCCAGCCTGGGTGACAGAATGAGACTCCGTCTCAAAAACACAAGACCAACCAACCAACCAAACAAACAAAACCCCATAGGCCACATGTGCTTGTTATGAATTCCCTAAGCCCAGTTTTAGTGCACAGAGATAGGCCATTTCCATCAGAGAGAGGCTTGTCAGTTCACTGACTTGATCATATCATCTTCAGAAAGACAACGGAAAACACTTCCTTGTTGGCATAAACGCAGCCTTTCCTGCGTGTCTATCAAGAGGAAGAAACAGGTGCTTGGCTCCTAATGAGAACGACAGACTTGTTTTGGGTGGAATGGGAAGGACTTAGGCTTTCCTTAAGCCTCCTGGAGTTTGGGATGTCATTAGACTCTCACACAGTTTCTATTTGTTGCAAAAAGACAGACTGCCCGAATGCCGCTCATCCCTACAGAAGGAGCCATTTCAGCTTCTCAGTAACCTCAGCCTGGTTGCACTGTCCCTCGTACAGCCTGTTTGCAGATGACCGGTTTCCAGGAATGTGTCTGAAATGACTGTACACAAATGCTTGGGGTTGCTTAGAGCTCGGGGTTGCTGTTTCTTTCCATTGTCCAGCTCCATCCTTGCCCACCAACATAGTCTGGAAGTGGGCAGATCACGAGGCCGTGAAGTTGTGGGCAGAGAGCCAGAAAATGTGAACACCAGTATCTTGTAGCTTGGCCCCAGTAGGGTCAGTGCTGTGGTCTCTCCTTTGCTGCCCGCCAGAAGAAGGCACTGAGCCTGACCTGTACCTGAACCGTGTGGATGGGGGTTGGGGATCATCGGCGCAGCAGAGAAACGCACAGGTGTCCCAGGACCGTGCACTCTGTCTGCCTCTCTGGATCCGCCCAGCATATTCATTTCTAGACAGGCTGCATTCAGACTGTCTTTATCTCTTATCTTGATATGCACTCAGAGGCATCCAATGGCCTGATGTCCAGCCTGGCACCCCCTCTGTGTCCTGATTGAAGTACAGTTGTCATCACACCCATGTGTGTCCCAGGCTGTGGCATTCAGTCAAGTGCATGGCAGGGGCTGGCAAGCCACAGCCCAGCTGATAATCCTGCTTTCATCTGCTGTTTCGTGAGCATTTACTGTTTTCATGAAGCCTAGCTAAGGATCTTATATGCGTGACCGAGCTTTTTGCTTTGATTTCTAATTCCTTCCTGACTTTTTTCTTTTATTTCTAATTCCTTCCTGGGTTCTGTCAACTCATTTCCAGTCTTCCATTTTTCCAGTCACCTCATTTTTTAGTGTTTTGTCATTTTTATCTAAACTGTTCTTTCCTTGCTTTTACCCTTTAAACATTTCTTTTGCCTGTGATACTCTAGGTTATAGTTTTTATCTGTTTTATGGGCATGGCTTTCCGGCATTTCTTTATTGCCTATAGAAATTTTACTCTCTTTTCTTATAATAGCTTCGATGGGATTTGTCAAGAATCCTTTCCATTACTCATAATTAAGTGAAATAAGTTCTCGCATATAGTTTTGCTAACTTCATGACTCTGAAATTCTCACTTCTGTTGTTTTGTCAATGTGAGCAAACCCAGGGCCTCACACTCTCTCGGCTTTGCCTCCTTCACACTTTTGTCTGGACGACCATCTCTTTCATTTGCACCTATTTTCCTTGTTGCGCCCAGTTTGGACCCTCCTCCCGTTAAAGTCTTCCTTAATATTAAGACTTTGCCCTGGAAAATTTTCGAGGTTCCTATGGGGGCAGGCTGTCCCAGCAACGGAAACTTCCTATTGAAAAGATGAACTTAGGGCCAGGTGCGGTGGCTCACACCTGTAATCCCAGCATTTTGGGAGGTTGAGGCGGGTGGATCACTTGAGCTCAGGAGTTCAAGACCAGCCTGGCCAGCATGGCAAAACCTCATCTCTACTAAAAATACAAAAAATTAGCCAGGCATGGTGGTGGGCACCTGTAGTCCCAGCTAGATGGGAGGCTGAGGCAGGAGAATCGCTTGAACCCAGGAGGCAGAGGTTGCATGAGCCAAGATGGTGCCACTGCACTCCAGCCTGGGCGACAGAGTGAGACTCCGCCTCAAAAAGAAAAAGAAAAAGAAAGAGTGAATTCTATACCTGAGAAAACTGACCCAGAAAGACTGGCACTGAGACAGATCCTAATCAAATGACTGAATTTTGAAGAAAAAAATAAATATTTTGGGGGCGTTCAGGCAAAAAGACCAATATAATAGCACAACAGCATCAGTTTAAAACAGACGACACAGAGTGACATATTTAAGATACACAAGAATAGAAAAATGTGAGATAGGTGTTTTATATCCAATGAAACTAACAACCAGTACAAAAGCTGCACACTTTTTGAAAGTGGGAAAACTCAGGAAATTGCTCTAACTAGACAGACATCAGAATGAGGATGTCAGTGACACTCGCTGAGGCAGAAGAGACGTTATCAACCAATTCTAAGTTATAAAACTGATTTGGACCCTGATTCAAAGAAAGTGTTAAAAAGCGTGAGACAATTGGGGGAATTTTTACTCTAATTAGATATTGATGATATTAAGGAATTTGCTGTGTTAATCACTGGATTTTAGGTACATAAGTTCATTCTACTATTCTCTGTAGTTTGGTGTGTTTGAAGCTTTCCATAGTGTAAAAATATTTTAAGATGCTTAACTTGGCATTATTTGTAATTATGAAAACCTGGAAATGGCCGGGCACGGTGGCTCAAGCCTGTAATCCCAGCACTTTGGGAGGCTGAGATGGGCGGATCACGAGGTCAGGAGATCAAGACCATCCTGGCTAACACGGTGAAACCCCGTCTCTACTAAAAAATGCAAAAAACTAGCCAGACGAGGTGGCAGGCACCTGTAGTCCCAGCTAATGTAGTCCCAGCTACTTGGGAGGCTGAGGCAGGAGAATGGTGTAAACCCGGGAGGCGGAGCTTGCAGTGAGCTGAGATCCGGCCACTGCACTCCAGCCTGGGCGACAGAGCGAGCCTCCGTCTCAGAAAAAAAAAAAAGAAAACCTGGAAACAATAGAGAGGTCATTCAATAAGGCCTAGAATAGCCCTTACGAGGAAGTTTCCTAATCATAAAGAGTTAGGTTTAGAAAGAAGAGGTAATGGAGAGTTGCTCACGTTAATATGAAGAGGTAATGGAGAATTGCTCATGTTAATATCTATACACAGATGATACTAAATATGTGCGACTTGGACGTATGTGCTTAGACAAAAGACTAGAAGGAAATTCATCTTTTTTCATTCATTTAATCATTTAGTAAATCAGCCAATCAGTTACTCGGTAACTATTTATTGAGTGGCTACTATATATTTAAAAGGCAGCTCTTTCTACCCAAATCCTTTTTTTAAAGGTCTCAGGGGAAAGGCCTCATGATACAGAAGAAGAGATGGACTGAAGCTCTGCTCCCTTCTCACTGCAAAATGCCCTTCCAAACACTCCATCCAGTGCCACTGGCCCTGCTTTCCACAGCCTCCCCGAAGTCTGCCTCTCCAGGCCCTTCGTGTTTCCTTTCGCCCTCCTCCTTCTCCATTTGGCTTCTCGGTGCCCTGCAGATCTCTGCCTGAGTCACATTTCTGTCTCCACCCTCTCCTTGCAGATCCTCCTACCACTGCCCATGGGATTTCAGTACTATCTTATGCTAATAACTCCCAACTGGGTATCTCCAACCCTTCTGCTGCCTTGAGCTTCAGACGATGTCTACCCATCTAGGGTGGAATGAATGGATATCCACTAGGGTGTCTGTCGCACAGCCATTTTAACTTAATATGTCCAAAATGGAATTCTGATCAATGACCCACACACGAGTTGCTTAAAAACAAACCACATCCATCACTCAGTCTTCATTAGCTCTGTAAATGATACCCTGCATGCCGTCATGCAAGCCTGAGTCTGGGAACCTTGATTTCTCCTCCTGGCCCACAGCAGCAAATTCCATCAGTTCTGTCTCTAAAAATACCTAGAATCTCCGCTGCCACAATCTCTCCCCTGGACTTCTACAATAGCCACCAATGTGTTTTCCCAGCTTCCATTCTTGTCATCTCCAATGCATTCTCTATGCAGC